AGCAGTGAGCAGCCCCTCCCTAAACAAAGTGAAGCGCAGGACGGGGTCCGGTGGATGGGAGGCAAGGAAACGCGGGGGGTTGCCACGTGCGCTACCGCCGCCGCCGCAGGCAGCACCCCTGCGGCGGCGGCAGCGGCAGCAAGCCGTGGACCCAAACGCCGTGCCGCCGCCGCCGCAGGCAGCACCCCTGCGACGGCGGCGGCAGCAAGCCGTGGACCGAAACTCCGTGCCGCCGAGTCCCGTGGCTGTGGCCGTGGGCTTCTGGCAGGAAACTACGGCCGCAGCTCGGCAGCACGGGGGCGTCGCAGCGTGCCGCCGCCGCCGCGCTGCCCCCCGGGCACGGCGGCGGCGGCAGCAAGCTTGGGCCCAAACGCCGTGCCGCCGAGTCCCGTGGCTGCGACCGTAGACCGTGGGCCGGAAACTGCGGCCGCAGCTCGGCGGCACGTGGTTCTGGTCAAATCGCCAAGCGTGCAGCAGCGCCGAACCACGCTTCCCGGCCTCGGCGCATGCCTTCAGGGGCCCCCTATCGCTGGGCACACCCCTCCAACACCGAACATGCGCCCGGGGGGGAGGGCGGCCCGGGCGGCCCAGGCCAAAGTGGGCCGCCCTCGAGCAAGAGGCGGCCGGGCTGTGTGCTGAATGAATGAATGAATGAAGCGCTGTGCCTGCCAGTCAAACTCGCACTTGGCGCGTCGGGCAGATCAAATAATGGTCTAAAGCTAGACGTTAAAACCGGGAAGTTAAGCCTGTGGAGGCTCTTCCCCACCTTTACCTTTACCTTTACCTTTTACATCGAGCAGTGCACAAACCCCACACATTGGAGGGCCACTTGCACAAAGAGCTACTGCTCAATACGGCACAGATACTCGTTGAGCGAGCAAATGATGGGGTGCGCACACGCATCCTGAAGGTGAAAGCCCACAGTGGAGTGACAGGCAACGAAGAGGCGGACGCTGCCGCGAAAGCTGCGGCTGGGGCCGATGAAACCCACGATTTCGTTATGCCAGCCCACAAGCCCTTTGGCGGCCAGTGGCAGCCGGCCTTCTTTGAGCCCCCGCCAGAAGGGGCAGAGGGGCCGGCCAGTCTCAGGGCAGTGTCCAATCTCACCAGTGCTCTCCGTAAGGCCGTACATGCCAGCACCAAAACCGGCACCAGCAAGGTGGGCATCTATGCGGCCGCCGCCCAACAGATGTACGATGGGCAAGAAGACGATCGGGCACTAGGAAAGGAAAGCAATGCCTTCTGGCGCATTGCACGAGTGGTGGCTGGAGCCCGCCGCACACTCTTGAAGCATAGAACAGGCCAATTCTGGACGAAAAAGGAAGCCTTCCAACGGGGAGCGCCCTACCCCCCAGGCAAGCATGGGCAACCCATTGCCACGAACAGCCGGTGCCCACTGTGTGGTGAACCCGACTCTGGAGGGCATGTTCTGCTACGATGCACCCACCCTCAAATGAAGGCCATGCACATTCACCGGCACGACAGCGCAGTGCGCATGATACACACAGNCCTCCAAAGGGGCAGCTGTCACGGCAATGCCTACACTGTGTTGGATGCGTGCAAACAAGAGGAACTTGAAGGGCTGACAGCCGACGCCAAACGCCTCCCCCGGTGGCTCCTGCCAAAAAATGTTGCACACGACGACACTCTATGCAGAATGCGCCCCGACATCCTGCGCATCCTGGGGCTGCCAGGGGCGCCGACGACCGAAGAAATCCAGCATGCAGTCAGCAACAAGCACCGTCACACTATACAAGTAGTGGAAGTCGGCTACTGCTCTGACACGCAGTGGCGGGCCAAAGTGGCAGACAAACTGCAACAACATGAACAACTCATGATAGCCCTAGAGCAGGCCGGTTGGCAAGTGGACCGGACACCTCACATCATTGTCATTGGAGCACGCGGCGCCATCTATCACAGTGGCCGTGAGGCCCTGCTGAAACTGGGTCTCAGCAAAACGCAGGCTAGCAACGTATTGATTGACATCCACCTGCATACAGTGCAAGCAGTATACGACCTCTCACTGGCCAGACGGCGGCTCGAGCGGGGCCACCGTCAAGTGGGGGTAGGCTAGTGGCCAACCCCCCCACACCCACACCCAATGGTAGCCGGCAGGGTGGGCCTCCGGGCCTGCACCCAGCTGGCTTCCTCAATCCACGCCCAAGGGCGTTTTCTTTCTTTCTTTCTTTTCACACAAATATGCTGTGGTTCACCAATTTTCAATCAAGATATCCTCTGTAATGATGCACAGCTGCCAGCAAATGGTATATCCGCTCTGATCAAGGCGCCTTGCCGGCAAGGTACACGCGCTGCAGATGCGGGCATGGCCCTTGTCTTACAGCGAGTGCAGGCCGCAGCGAGTACAGGCCGCCGTGCATATAAAAACAAATCACCAGCCATTTTTGAGAGCCTCAATGTGCAGCAGGAACAGCGGTGCTCATGGAGCTAGGCGTGGCTTAAGTAAAGTGCATCTACAAAAACACAACTTGGCCCAGATGGTGGCAGGTTCTGGCGCCAGGAACAGCTGCCGCCAGGTGAGACAGCTGCCCTCCCCGCATCTCCTGTCCTCAGCAGTTCTCCACGCTGTCCTTCATTGCCTGCGCCCGGTAGCCGCACTTGGAGCCTGCGCAGCAGAGGAAGAAGGGGCAGGCAGTCAGCATACAACGTGTACCGCACGCCGTGCGGACATCCGGCGGACGGTACTTAACCCGGCGGAACCAAACCTGCCTTGGACGCTACCAGAGTATAATCAGATTTCACTGGCAGGAGAGCTGGCCCACTGGCAGCCCTGAGCCGAAACCCTGTGTCAGAACCCTTCAGTCTTGGACGGGCCCCACTCGTCCCTTCATTGAGCAAACCCGCGGGATCATGCGGCGGCGCACCGCAGCTGCGGCCTGCGAGGCCCTGGTGTGCTGCCTGGCCTGCCTGGGCGCCGCCGCCGCTGCCGAGGCGCCGGCGCTGGTGCTGCCGTACGGCGCCGACCTGGAAGCTCTGCCCAGGGCGAGCACTGTGCAGGGCGGCAGCGACTGGCCCACGAACATCAGCATCACGCTCGTGGATGCCGAGGCCCAGGTGGGCTGCCTACCTGCCTGCTGCACAGCGCAACCGGCAGCCTTATTGAACAAAGAGACGTCGTCGTGCGACGGCGGCGGCGGCAGCAACCGCAGAAACTCTTCGCCCCCTCAGGCTTGTCGACCTTGCCATGCATGGCTGCTGCCGCCGCGCCGCAGATCGAGGGGCCGCCGGGGAGCTCGCCGTCCCTGAGGGCGACCGTCAAGCTGTGGAGGAACGAAGGCACGGGCGACATCAATAGCTGCGGCCCGACTGTCAGGGTGCATCCAGGAGATGTCTTTCAGGTGGCGCTCCGCAACGAGCTGAGGCCCTCTGTTGGCGGCGAGGAAGAGCTGGAGGGTGAAGACACTCTCAACGAGCTGAGGTGGGTGGGCAGGCAGGAACACTGCGTGCTCCGAGGGTCCAGACTCTGTGCTTTGGGCGCTGGCGCCAGCAGATGCCACCACTCACGATGCCGCAGCGGGTGCCCGCCGGTGAAACGCCGCCTCTGCCACTGCTGCGGCTGGCGACAGCCTGCAACGGCCAGTCGGTGTGCTGCAGGCTGCCCCAGACCACCAACCTGCACCTGCATGGCGTGTACAGCGACCCTGGAGTGCGGCAGCAGGCAAGGAGGCGCCCAGTGCCCGCTGCACTTCCCTGCCGTGGGCGCGCTGCTGTCATCTGCTGCTACTGCTCCGCCCGACATCAGCCCCAAGCTGTGTTTCTTGGGCACGCTCTGATGGCTTTACTGCGCTGCAGCCGAGCGAGGAGGAGGCTGAGCATGGCGTGCCATACAACGGTGGGGACAATGTGTTCGTGCGTTTGGACCCCGGTAAGGACGGTTCCACGCAGCCTTACGGCCATGTCGGCAGCCTGTTGCGACTGCATGCATTCAGCGTGCTGCGTGCCATGCTGCATGATGAAATGCCAGAGGCTGACGCGGTGTCTGTGTGCCGGGCCGGGCCTGCCTGTCGCAGGCGAGCAGCAGACATACACATACAGCGTGCCCCCCAACCACATGCCTGGCCTGTACTGGTGAGTGCCGCATGGGTGTTGAGCTCTGATTTGCTGGTCCAGCCCAGGCAGGGAGACACTCTTGACCGCTGCGGCTACCCTGCCTGCGTGCCAGGCTTCACCCACACTTCATGGGGAGCGCGGCGCTGGGGACAGCCACAGGTGCCTGGCCGCAACCTGGGCCAACTGTGTGCCGATGTGTGCTGCTGGCCCTTGCCGCTCTGCTTGCCCAGCAGTGCTATGAGCCTCCCCAGCTGTGTGCTCACACCTCTGGGCTGCTCTCAACACCGCAGCGAGCAGCGCACTTCTGGTCGAGGGAAGCGAGGAGGAGCTGCTGTCCCCACCAGGCTGCAGCACGGTATGCCAGGTTCTTCAGGCAGCGAAGGTGAGCCCATCCGCCACACAGTACGCAGCTACCGGCGGCTTAACTGTATTAGCTGTACATTCCTTTCACGCATTTTGAATGTGCTCAGGGCGTCTGGCTGTCTCCCCTTTCCCGAGATGAGGCAGGAGCGAGTGCTGGTGCTGCAAGGCTGGCTGTTTGATGAAGGGGCCGACTCCTACCCAGACATATCCGCCAACTCCATCCCGCCCAACCCCACCTGCTGCGGCAACAACACCGCCGGCGCCGCCTTCACCTCCAACGGCCAAGGTGCCAGCTGCCTCCTCTTGCATTGCGGGCCCACGCCTGGAGTGCACCCTGACTTGGTTCAATCGAGCTTTGCCTGCCTGCCTGCCTACCTGCCTGCAGCGCTTGTGACCGTCAACGGTGGCCACGCGCCCGTCATCCACATGCGCAGCGGCGAGTGGCAGCGCTGGCAGCTGGTGTATGCCGGTGAGTGGACTGGCTCCCGCTGCTGCTCCGCCTCAGTGCAACTGCTTGCTCCTCCACCTGCAGTGCAACTCCTCCTCCACGACCCGTAGGGTGACCCCCTGGCTGCCACGTACCCATACCCCCACTTGAGATCCCCTGTCATAGTCTGCCTGCTCCCTGCTTCATTGACTGCCTCCCTCATGCCGCGTCCCACCCTGCAGCCTACATGCGCTATGTTGATCTCGCTCTGGAGCCTGCCTCAGCTGCTGCAGCGGCAGCAGATTCAGACCAGCAGCAGGAGCCTGGCACCGCAACCTGCGAGCTGGCGCTGCTGGGGAAGGATGGCATATGGCTGATGCAGGTGTGCAAAGGCGAGGCTGTGATGCGTCATGCTGTGCGCTGTGCCGTGCGTTGTGACTGCGCTGCGCTGCTGTTGTGCCACCACCTGTATTGCTGCTACTAATCCCCCCGGGCACTTGCTGCACCGCCATGCAGATCCCCAGGAGCGTGCCGCACCTGCTGCTGCCGGCGGGAGGCAGGGCAGATGTGCTGGTGCGCTGCCGCGGCCTTCCAGGAGCAGAGGTGCGGCGGCATGGCATGGTGCATGGCATGCATGTGTGTACGTCTGTTCGGAGGGGGTGGGGAAGGATGGAGAAGATGCTCCTGCCTTCTGCAGCAGGGTTCAAGGCAAACAATTACAAGCAAAATTGCTGCCGCTGCCGCCACAGGCTGTGCTCTCCAGCGGCTTTGGGCCTATGTCGCAGCCGCCACACATGTGCGTCGTGCCCAGCTGCACAGTGATCACGCAGCCGGTGGTCGCCAGAGTGAGGATCGAGGGCGGCGAGGGGCAGCAGGCAGCGAGGCAGGACCTGCAGGCAAGGCCCGCTGCCGCTGCTGCTCCTGCTTCTCACACAGCTAGCTGCCCTTGCTTCCCATCTTCCGAGCGCTGGAGGGCAGCAGAACAGGCATTGCGCTATGCTTTCCCGCACGAACTTCTTCCCTGCCCTGTAGAATGAGGCCTGCACCCCGCTGCGAGGCAGCTACGTTGCTGACCTGCGCGACTCAGCGCTGGCGGCGGCGGGCGCCACCAACAAGGCAGAACTGCTGCCTGCTGCTGGACGCACTGTGGGGTTCACCCGCTGGGGATCAGCCGCTGCCTGTGGCCGCCGAGGCACCAATGTATTGAGGTGTGTATGGTCTCTGCAGGTGGTGCGTGACACAGTCATCTTCTCCCCAGTCGACCCCAAGATTCCATCTGAGGACTGCTTTGTCAATGGCAAGCCCTTCAGCCTGCCTGATCGTGAGTGGCGCTGCTGCTCTGCTGCGACTGCTGCTGGCGGGACTGCCATAGATCTGCCTTCTGGCGCCATGCCTGAGCTCTTCACCGATGTGCAACTGCCAGTGACACTGAAGGTTCAGTGAAATGAACACATCTCTGCAACGCTCCTTTTGCGCAGCGGCACCTCTGCGCGTGCCTCTTGGCAGCGTGATGGAGTGGACCCTGGGTGTCGTGGGTGTGCAAGGGCCACCCATGCCGGGCCTGCCAACTCAGCTGTCTGGGCCAACAGCAGATGTGGTGCTGCCTTGCACAGCAGGCTGCCTGCTTCCCAAACGAGTCCGCCCATCCTGTCCTCACTGTGACCTCTGGTTGGTTGGCTGCTGCAGGGTTCCACCCCCATCACCTGCACACCCACCCCATTCAGCTCACGGCACTGCCCATCCTGGCGCCCGGAAGGGGAGCAGGCAGGGGCATGGGCGTCGATGGTGCTGGCAGGCGCGGCCTGCGCCAGGCAAGCCGAATGATGGGCGGCGGCAGCATGGGCACAATGGCATTGCAGTTCGGCATGGCGCAGGCAAGCCTTGCTGAGCTCTGGCGCACTGGCGGTCTGCGCTTATGTGGTGGGAGCCTGCTGCTTCACAGCGCAACCTTCACTGCGTGGAAGCGTTTTGTCGCTCTGGCCGACGCTTTCCTCCGCTACTGTGCAGCCCTCTGCATCAGCCGACAACCTGGCCCGCTGGGCGCAGCTGACTCCGTACTTCCAGGTGCAGCCCTGTCTGCCAAGCTGTGATGAATGGGGGTGCTGCTGTCCAGCTCCTGTTCCCCGGGGTGCTCCCCCGACCCATACATACAGGTGGCACGGCTCCCTGCCCAGCAGGCCTTTCTAGCCTGCCTTGCCCTGCCTTGCCCTGCCTTCCCTGCCAAAACACGCCAGCAGGTTGGGGACTGGCACGACGTCGTCTTCCTGCCCGCGGATGCTCCCGCCGGCGGCGCAGCCGCCGTGCGCTTCCAGCCGGGGCCCTGGTCCGGCTACTCTGTGCATCACTGCCACTTCCTTATGCACGAAGATACAGGATGCATGAAGGTGCGGCAGCCCAGATGCTGGGAGGCACCAGCGGGTGGCTGCAAACGGACCAGTCGTTGCTGCCTGCACTCCAGGACTGCGCACATGGCCTCGCAGCCCTGCTGCACGCCAGACTGAGTTGGCTACACCCGCACTGCCGCAGGTGGTAAAGTGGGAGTGCCCTGGCAGCCCCGGCGACAGGCAGCCTGGGGTGTGCTGCAGCTGGGAGCCGCCGGTGCCGGGGACGTACTGAGGGCCAAGCAGCAGGTGTTAATGCCGGGAGCTCAAACATCCCTGACTGTCAGTACGGTTTTACAGTATCGCAACAAGTGCCAGTGACTGTGACGCTCCCGGGAGCCCAGCCCCTCAGGGAGGCTCCACGGCACACTTGCGTGGGCCGGAGGGGGGTCCCTCCCCGTTTCGCCATCTGCTTCTGGCGCCCGACATGCTGTCCTGCATTTGCTCATGTCCAGTCGTGTAACGAGCATCGCGCAAACCAGCTAGGTTCCATGCAGGCGGGGACGATGGTTGAGGCATGGGGTGGATCAGCAGGAAGCCCCACCACCAGGCGCGCCTGGTGCTTTCCACCTTGCCGTGGCGGCCGCCCCGCTGGCAGGGCGCCTCAGCTGAGCGGAAGAGGCCGTTCAGCCTCCGCGATCAAGCAATCTGGCGAGCAGAAGGCAGCCTCGCTCTCATCCCTGCCTGCAGGCAGAGCGTTCACGCCCTTTCTGGCTGAGCTGCTAGCAGCCCCAACCGGGCAGCTCTGCACCACAGCAGGCAACGTCTCAACCTGCCTGAGTCTCAGAAGCAGCCAAGGCTTGAAAGAGTCCTGGTGAGTGGATAGGCCATAGCATCTGCGCTGCAGAACTGTGGGGCTGCTCAAATCCTGAGCCACATAGCCCAATCATGCATTGCTGGAACCAGCAGCTGGGCAGAGCGCTGGTTCTCACTGGTGATGCTGGTGCAGCTGCGCCGCCGCCGCCGATTCGCCGCCGCTCGTTGCCTGCCATGCCTGCAGGGCAGCACATTCCCTCGTTCAGCTTCCAGGCCATGCGGCCCAGCATGCAGTCCCTGCCCGAGGAGCTGCAGGGGCGCATCCTTGAGCTAGCAGGCCAGCAAGCCGGGCCTGCCGTCACGCTTGTGTGCAAGAGCTGGAATCGCTTGGTTTACAGCCAGCCAGGGCTGTGGCAGCAGGTGACAGTCCTCAGTAAGGATGCTCGACAGCTTGGCAGCGCAGAGGACAACTGGTGGCGCCGCAAGTTGGCGCTGCTGCAGCGTGTGCGTGGCGCGGTCCGAGCAGCTCAGTTTGAGGGGCCTCCAATTGTCGTTGAAGCAGCGTCAGCGCACGCCCTGCCAGACGGCATGCAGCTGGCAGACTTGGTTGGTGCTCTGGATCCAGCCGCCCTGACAAGCCTGACCTTCACCCAGCAGACGCTTCTAGCGCCAGCAGCTGTGAGCGCCATTGCGCGCTGCACGCGCCTGCGGGCGCTGGACCTGAGCGTGAAGCCTTTCCCGCTGCGGGAGCAAGACACAGCATTGTTTCAGCTGCTGAGCAGCTTGCAGCAGCTCAAACTGTCGGCTCTGCAGCTGCCAGCGACGCTGCTGCATGACTCTGTGGCAGCCTCCATGAGGCACCTGACGAGCCTTAGTTTGGAGAGTTCGGCGGGGCTGCCGCCCACCCAGCCGCTCACAGCCCTCACTGGGCTTCAGGAGCTGAGCCTTTGTGAGCTTGTCTCGGGAGACGATGGCCTGAAGCTGCTGCCTGTGGCAGCCTTCCCAGGCCTGAAGCAGATGGAGTTGATGGCACGGAAGCTTCAGGTGAACACTGCCGGTGGCCTGCTTCCAAGGCCGAAAGAGCACGCTGCATATCAATGTGAAAAGTCGTGCGTCCTGCAGGTTCACGAAGGCAGTCTGCATCATGGCGATCAGCTTAGACTTCTATGTTTGGACCTGGAGCGCCTTGATGGAAACCCTCATAGCTGGGGCATGAAGCTGCACGGCGCAGACCTGAACAGCGCAGCGCCCCTGCCGGCAGTGCTGCGTGCTTTGTGCTTGGCCAGTGGCAACCTGGCGTCCGTTTACCTGGCAGCATGCAGCGTGCAGTCGACAGCTTTCGGCCTTGGACACATGGTCAGCAGTACTGATAAAGTTGTCCTTCAGCGCCTGACTGCCAGCGGGGGCGAGCAGCTGGGTGTGGCGCTTGATGCAATGCTCAGCAGCATGCCCAGTCTGCAAGACGCCACGGTCATCAACTGCGACCTGTCCCAGGGCCTGCCCAACAGCCTTGTTCAGTGCAGCAGCCTTCAGTCTCTGGCTTGCATTGATTGCCAGCTGACTGCTTTGCCTCTGGGACCGTATGTTCAAGGTATGTGATGGGGTCGGAATGTGTGCACGTGCCTGCCTCCCCCTGTTATCAACTCCACACACCCAAAGAGCATTGCAGGCCTCCGGACGCTTGTGCTTACTGGCACCAAGCTGTCGGCACTGCCAAAGTCGCTGGCATGCGCCATGCTGCTGCGCGGCATGGATTTGCGCGACAACCCCGCCCTTGTTTTGACCTGCTCGGACGTTGTGCACATTCTGGGACGCATGCCACAACTTACAGGTCTGTTCCTTTCTCCAAACAGCCTATCAGGGTCAGCGGCAGCCTTGATGGCAGTGCGGATGCCCCATGTGGCCATCCCGCTTTTGAAGACAATGCCACTGGGTGGGCGCATCTTCGCCGTGCTCTCCGTGCTGTGGCGCATCACATACGGGTTTTTAGTCGCCGTAAATTTGGCCCGCGGTCATCTATGGATGTTAAACTGGAGCGGCTTCATGGAATGGAGGCCCACTTCAGGCTTGCTGGCGCTGGACTCCTATGCTGGCATAGCCATTGACTTCATTTTGAACTATCTAAGGATTCATTCACTCATCGAACAGTGTGTGCGTCGCTACTTTCAGTAAGGCTTGAAAACACACATACCCATAGCTACTTTGCTGCTGTGTTTTACCATTTTCCAGGCAAGTAGATGCTCTGTAATGATACACAGCTGCGTAAATACATACTGTCCGCGCTGATCAAGGCAAGGTACACGTGCTGCAGGCGCGGGCATGGGCCTCGTCTTACAGCGAGTGCAGGTGGCAGCGAGTACCGGCCGCCATGCACGTAACAGCAAATCACCAGCCATTTTTGAGAGCCTCAATGTGCAGCAGGAACAGCGCTGCTCATGTAGGAACAGCTAGGCGTGGTTTAAGTAATGTGCATCTACAAAAACACAACATGGCCCAGACGGTGGCAGGCTCTGCCGCCAGGAACAGCTGCCGCCAGGTGACTGCTGCCCTCCCCTGCGTCTCCTGTCCTCAGCAGTTCTCTACGCTGTCCTTCATTGCCTGCGCCAGGTAGCCGCACTTGGAGCCTGCGCAGCAGACAAAGAAAGGGCAGGCAGTCGGCACGCAGGCAGAGGCCCGCACGCGGCGGCGTATGCGGGCTAAACCGCCCGCCGGGCCAGCAGGCACGATCAGGGCACTCAGCATGGAAACCGCTCCCCACCCATCACACCCACACGCTGCCGAAGCCACACTCTCGAACTCCCCCACGCACTTGAAAGGCCGGCCATGGAGATGCGCCCATCAAACGTCATGTACACATGCCACTTGTTGGTCATGTTCTCAACCTGGGCCTGCAGGAAGGCAAAGACAGCAGGCAGGTAGGGGCCGATGGGTTTCAAGAGCCGCATCTTCAGCCCCAGCGGATTCACCAACAGCAGCTGCTGCCGCAGCAGCGTAGGGGTATAGGTGGCCCGGGAGCAGCAGCAGCAGCGGCAGCAGGCAAAACAAATAGCGGCCAGGCCCCCGCTGCTGCCAGCTGCAGACCGCCTGCTCTGCAGCCCCTCCGCCGGCTGCACGCTGCCTAGACCGCACGCCCGCACCTTGGTGAGCCCGGTGTAGCTAAACATGCCGATCTGCCTCAGGATGTGGCCCCAGTCCCCAGGGGCTCCCACTGCAGCACCAGGCAGATGGCGCGTGGTGCGGGGCTGCGATGTGGCAAGCTCACGGCACGCAGCTCGTGATGCAGCAGGCTGGCCATGCACATGCCAGGCCCGCATGCTGGCTTCATGCACCTCGTGTCCTCTTGCCCCATCATTCGGTACCGTGCCTTGCCAGCTGCCAGCGCCCGCTCACCTTCCTGCAGCGCCTGGTACAGCTGCTGGCGCATGGTGAGGATGCGGTCGGCCATGCCCTTGAGCTCCACCTTCCACTGGGCATACAGCTGCGGGTCGGCTAGGATGCGAGTGGCAATGGAGGCGCCGTGGCGGGGAGGGTTGCTGTACATCTGGCGCGCCGTCTGCGGGCGCAGGCACAGGGGCGTCGCGGACGGGGGTGGGTTCAGGGTTGGTGGCGCGGGTGGAGGCGGCGCGGCGGCAGCAAGCCCGGGTGCGGCACACTCACAATCTTGAGCTGGCTCTCGACCTTCTTGGCGGCAGCCGAGTCGCCGACAATCACTGCACAGCACAGAAGCACCAGCATGCCAGGCCAGGCCAGGTGTTGCTTGCAGCAGCGCCGACAGGTGCCAGGAAGGCTCAACACCACGAAGCCCACCACAGCTGACAGCCAGATCATAAAGGCAGGAAGCGGCGGCGGGCCGCACCCGTCAGTGCCCCCACGCGCTCGCCGTACAGGCCCTGCAGCACGCACGGCACAAGGGAGAGGTGAAGTGTTCTCGAAGGGCCAGGGTGTGCCAGGGCACCAGCGCCAATGAAGAGACCAGACCTGACTGGCGCAGAGCAAGCTCCGAATGCGCTCTCGATCCCGCCGGGCACCCTCACCATGTTCTTGGCGAAGCTCTGCGCCAGCAGCAGCTCCAGCCCCGCGTCGCAGAACAGGCGGATGGAGTAGCCGTCTCGGTCCAGGTCGCCGCTGGCAAAGCCCTGGTAGGCGGAGTCGAAGAATACCAGCAGCTTCTTGGCTAGGGCCGCATCCAGGATGCCCTGCCATTGCTCGGGCGTGGGGTCCACGCCTGCGTACACGGCAGCAGTGGCGGTGCAGCGGGAGTGAGGGAGGTGGCACCGGGCGCTGTACAGCTGGCAGGAACTGGGCAAGCCCTGCTCGCTGCCGGCACCCAGTCAGCGAGCGACATGGATCAGGCGCAGGACGGCAGCATACCCGTCGGGTTGTGAGCGCCTGCAGAGGGAGCAAGAACGAAGGAGGGAGTGGCGTGACCAGCCTGTGCCATGCTTGCACAGCAGGCGTCAACAACACCATCCTTCGTGCCACAGCAGCCCAACGCAGTACACCAGCAGGTCACTCACATGCGTGCAGCAGCAGGATGGCTCCCTCGGGCGCCGCCTTGATGTCCTCGATCATTCCCTGCAGGTCCAGCCAGGTGGCACAAACAGGCGGCGTCGTGGATGGCCCTCACTCAGCTGCTGCCTGCTGTCGGGTTGGGTGACCAGCCCGGCCTAGCGCAGCTTGGCTCAGCCCAGCCCTGGCCCCGGCCTCACCTCAAAGTCCAAGCCGCGGGTGTCAGCCTTGTAGTACCTGCCAGGTCAGCACAGGGGTGCCAGCTCAGCGACCGTCGAGAGACAGACTCCCCAGCACCGCCCAATCAATTCTTGCCATCACTGTGCCGCTGCCCAGCCAGTGGGCCCCAGGCTCCCTGACACCCGCACCGCTGTGCTGCCTCACCTGTACTGCTGCACCTGCATGCCGCAGCGCTCAAAGATGGCGCGGTGGTTGGCCCAGGAGGGGGTGGGGATCAGCACGATCTTGGGGCCGGGGTAGAAGCGGGACAGGAACTCGCCACCCACCTGGAGCGGAGCCGAAGGAGTGGAGAGTGAGTTGGGGGGGCCCTGGCTGAGCAGGGACGCCGTGAAGAGGTGATAAGGCGGCCGAAGGAGGCAGCAAGGCCGCGGGAGGGGCATGCTGCAGGGGCCGCCCTGGCGGCTGGCCCGCCGCCTGCAGGCCCCACCCACCCGCAGGCAGCCTGTGCCGGACAGGCCCTGGATGGTCGCGTTGCGGCCCTCGCGCAGCGCGGCGCTGCCCTCCCCAAACGCCATGCGGGCAGACAGGCGGCAGAACTCGGGGATGCCGCCCATGCCCAGGTACTCCTGCAGGACAGCAGGGACTCGTGTGTGTATGCGTGGGATAGTATCCGAACGTGATGTCGGATGTATGTGGCATGCTGGGAGGCGAGGAAGGCGGATGGTAGGTACGGCAGGCCGTTGCTCCCGTTGGAGCGGGTCGCCAGGTGCACCAGCAGCTGCGCCTCGCCTTGTTCTCAGTGGGGTCCTCGAGCACCCGCCGCTCCGCCTCCCGCACCGCGCCCAGCACCACCGGCTTGCCCTCCTGCACAAGAAAAGGGGGGCGGATGAGGCACACGAACGGGGCACACGTGTAGGGGCAGGTGGGCAGCGACGGCGGTCGCGCAGCGGGCTGGAGCGGACGCTGCAGGTTGGGGTGTGCTCGTGTGCGCGTACCTCGTCGCGGTATGCTCCCACGCCCAGGTTCATCTTCTGGGGGCTGTTGTCGGCCTTGAAAGCCTCGCTGATGCCCAGGATGGCATCGGGCGGCGCCTGCAAGCGGCAGCCAGCCGGTGGCAGACGGCGGCGAGCGGTGAAAACGTAAGCTGCTGTGCTCTGTGGCAATGCACCAGAGGGGCTCAGGTGTGACGGGAGGATGGCACCTGGTGCACGGGCTGAAAAATGCAGTGCAGGCTGGTGTGAATGCTTGACGGAGTTGGGCACTGGCCGCCGCCGCCTGCCGGCCTGGGCCATCACCCATCACCGCCTGCCGCCAAACCCGCAAGCCCCATTCGATAAGCCCTTCTACGGTCCCGCGGGTCGCGCAGCAAGGCAGCCAGGGGGCTGCAAGTGACGGGCAGAGCTGCGGCCGCTGGCATGCGCAGTCTGCACGTGGCACCACAATCGCTGTTCCTCTCGACCACATCGCACCTGGGGGACCTCCAGGAACCTGCTGGCCGCCATGGCAGCCCGGGTCTGTTGTCTCAGCACTTGTTGCAGGGCGTGGGCAGGCTGCAAAGCGCACCGCTGCAGCTGGCTGGTTAGGTGGGCAACCCTTGAAGCGGCTCTGTCGGCCATGCTCCTGCGCTGCGCCTCGGTTGCGGTTGGCCACTTTCTAACAAGGGAGCGCGGGAAGCACCCCGGGAGGCCCGGTGGGCTGATGCAGATATCGGATTTCGCAAGCAAAGCACTGCTGGAGAATGCCGAAACATCCAAGGCTCCCGGTTGGGAGTTTCGGTCTGCTGACTTGGCGCCGTGCGGCCGCGGCACCGCTTGGACTGCGCTACAACCCGATTTCAATGGTTGCACTAAGATCATTCCCCAAGCTCGAATCTGGTCAATTGAGCTGCATATCTCAATGCATGCATGCGTATGGACTTGAGCAGGCTCGCGGCAGGGCGCGGCAGACTTTGGCGGCGGCGGCGATGCTTTTGGAACAGGAATGGGGAATGGTAGACCGCTTCGCCCATTACAGGATGCCTAGAACGCAGTTTATCGCATCACACCTGCGATCTGTTGGCTGGCAGCGACTTTAATCCGCCGCCTCCAGAGCCGCCGCCGCCGCCTGCCTGGCGCCGCATGCGGCCGACATCTCAAGTTGGGCCAGCAGCGCCGCGCCCTTCCTCTTCCCTCCCTCCTGACTTTGTGTGAGACGCAGCCGCCGCCCGCCCGCCTCTTCCTGCTCTGCGCCGCCATCACCTGGCTCAGCTCAGCCTTTGGGGCTGAAGCGCAGAAACATTAGTGTACTCCGAGTTCGGGCTGCCGTGGGCCTTCCCGTCCCTCGGCAGATAAGCATGCGTCGCAGCACAGCGCAGACGAGGCCAGGCCACGGCCACTACCTGCCGCCTGGCCAGCTCCAGCAGCAGCAGCCGTTCAGCCAACAGCAGCAGCAGCAACAGCACGCCGAGCACCAGGTCGCGCACCATCCGCCCCCCCACCATGCGCGCCCGGCCGTTGCCGCCGCCCCTGCCACGGGCCCTACCTCGCACCTCACCACCACCAGCTTTGCCTCCTTGCCTCTGGCGGCTGCCAGCCAGCGCTCGCTGACCGAGGTGCTGCGGTTTGAGTTCCTGACCAGCGTCCAGGAGGCCACGCTGCCGGCGGTAAGAGCTGCACACGGGGCGCTACCGGCCCGCTTGCATGCCACGATGCAAGCACCGATGTCTGGCAGCGCAGTTGGCCGCTTGGCTTGCCGCCGCAACGCATGCACACGCGCCCGCAGCCCCAGGGGCACCACATGCCCTCACCTCGCCCTTCCAAACGCCGCCGCCAACCGCGCGGTAACCCCGCTCGGCGCAGGTGCTGAACGGCGGCGACGTCATGGCGCGCGCCAAGACCGGCACCGGCAAGACGATGGCCTTCCTCATCCCGGCGGTGGAGGCGCTGTGCCGCGCGCCGCCGCGCTCCGGCTCCGGCATCTCTGTCCTGGTGCTGTCGCCGACACGGGAGCTGGCCTCGCAGGTCGGTGTGGCTGCCCGCCTCGCTGCTCTGCTGGCCGGCCTGGCCTGGCAGCGTGCGCCCTGGGGGCGTGCTGCCGGCATGCCTGCGGCCACATGCCACAGGCTGCGGCAGCAGCGGCACCTGGCCGCCGTTTTCCACCCCCTTCAGCAGCCGCCGCCTCCCCGCTCACCCTACACCGCGCAGATTGCTAAGGAGGCCGAGGCGCTGCTGCGCTTCCACCCCTACAAGGCCCAGGTCGTCTACGGCGGCACCAACATCAACAGGTGCGCACGCCAGCCTGCGGCGTTCTGCAGTACCGCGCGCGCGCGTGTGCCCCTGCTGCTGCTGCCTTTCTGCCGGCAGCCCCCGCATCTGTCGCCGGCCGGGCCACCTGCATGCACCAACCACTCGACCCGATGCCCTGCCTGCCTGCCGCCGCAGCGAGCGCAACCGCCTGGCGGGGCGGTGCGATGTGCTGGTGGCCACCCCCGGCCGCCTGATTGACCATCTGGAGAACTCGGGGCTGGCGGCCACGCTGCAGGGCATCCGCACGCTGGTGAGAGGCGGACCGGGGGTTGCTTGCTCCCTGGGTGTGTGGTTGGAGGGTGAGGTGGCAACCTGGCGACCTGTTCTTGCGTCGCTCACCTGCTGCTGCCGCGAATCCCGCCGCTGCTGCTGCCCTGGCGCAGGTGCTGGATGAGGCCGACCAGCTGCTGGAGATGGGCTTCAGGCCCGCCATCGAGAAGATCCTGAGTGAGCTTGCGCTGAGCTGGCGCTGAGGTGGCGGGCGCGGGCGCTGGCAGAGCGGCGGGTCAGCGGCAGATCGGGGCAGCCGTGTTGCCTCATGCCCCACCGCCCTGATGCCCATCTCCTGCCCTGCCCTGCGCGCCCACCTCGCCCGCCTGCAGGCTTCCTGCCCAAGAGCCGCCAGACGCTGCTGTTCAGCGCCACGATGCCGCAGGCGGTGCAGCAGGTGCGCTCCTCCACTGCCGCCGCCGTGGCGGGGAAGGCTGCCCGCCGTGGCCGCCAATGGCCTGCACCACAGGCTGATGGCGGGCGGCTGCTGCTGCTGCATCTGGCTCCCGCAGGTGGCTGGGCTGGCGCTCAAGAAGCAGCACGCCTTCATCGACACCATCGGGGAGGAGGACTCGGCCACCAACACGCAGGCACGCCTCCCTGCCGCGCCGCGGGAGGCCCCGCGGCCGCTGCACTCCCCGCGCGTCGCCGCCGGGACGGCGCTCCCTTCGCTGCCTGCCGCCGCGCTGCCGCCGCGGCCCTCCCTCGCTCCTCTCACGTTGTGTGTCTCGGTCTGCAGGTGGAGCAGAGCTACGCTCTGGTGCCCATGGAGGACCAGTTCACCGCCATCTTCTCGGTGCTGCGCCGCCACGCGCAGACGACGCCCGGTGAGCGCGGCCGCCTCGCCGGCTGGCCCCCCACACCCACCCCACCCCACCCCGCGAGCGCGCGCCTGGAAACCCCGCGCCTCGCCGTCGTATGCCGGCCTCCGCTGCCGGTCCCTCGCGCCGCCTCGCATGCCGGCCGTTTTCGGTTGCCTCGCCTGCCCCAGTAGCCCTTGGTTGCCTCACATGCCGCCCCCCTGCGCTCCCTGTGTCCCCACCCACCGCCCACCCGCCCCGCCTCCAACCAGACCACAAGATCATCGTGTTCTTCACCACCGCCCGCCTCACCCAGTACATGGCCTCCCTCATGATCGCCTCGG